TTTCAGGTGCTGTATATCCCATTTGTTGTCACATTGATTGGTAACTAATTGGGATGGTGGAAATCCAATAAACCTTGTTCAAAGGGGAATAAATAATTATGATTTTAATAATTAGAAGGGGAATTGGGAACGAGCATTGCCACAAAAGTGTGAAGATAGAGAAATGAATTTTGTTTGGCTCAGGACAATAATCCTAATCTGAGAATCAAGAAATCAATAATTCAGGGAAGTTTGATTTTTTTTTTACTCTATAAACCTATTCTTGGGATTCTAAAGATTAAAATGTGGAAAAACAGTTCAACACTCTTGAACTAGTCAGCAGGCCATTGTAATTCCATCTTATTCTGTCTGATGTGGATAAAATCATCTTCCTCAATATAAAGTCAGATACCCCAGAATGGTTAACTCCAGATGATGATATATTGGACAACCTATTGGAGGGCCCTGTTAAATGTCTTGTATCTTTCAAAATGTGGAAGACTATCAGTCTTCATGATTACAGATAAGATCTAGTCGAAATTCCCTGGTGCATTAATCTGAAAAATGGCCTGTTAATGACTTCCTCATAATGTGATGACATTTGCTGTCATACATTATTTAGTAGGGGGTCAGGAGATGGTGCTTTGGAGTGCAATACCAAAAAAGGCTGAAGTTGAAGGGGTAAACAAAATCTGAGAAGCTGAGACCATGCTCAATGCTATGCAATGAGCAGATTTGAGTCTTTCAGTTAAATATGCACCTGAGACATTATCCATGGCATTCTCCAAAACCCATCTGATGGAGTATAAGTAAATTAATTACATATATTTCCTGAAAAATCAGTTGCTTCAAGGATGAACATAAATCTGAAGCCAGAATGGGACAACTCACCATAGCCAACTCATTGTGGCCAACTGGCTCTGGCCACCTCACCATGGAACAAGTCAACATGGGACAATTTAACAATTTAATATAATCATTTAAAATAATTAAAAAAAATATTTTAATTTTTGACATTCCCATTTCATTTTGTCTTTCCTTTTGTATCCTTTTTTAAATGATTCTATTCCACCATTTCTTAGACATTAGTGTAACCAGTGCTTTTTTCCTAAAAAAAAAACGTGCCGGAAATCACACACGTAATACAACCTGCCTTGCCTACCCTAAAAGGTTCCATCCCAAAAAGGTGCCGGACCTCCGTTCTGAGTGTTCTATGAGAAAAAAAGCCCTGAGTGTAACTCTTGTCCCTCAGTGAGTTGGCTGTCATGAGTTGTCCTGCAGCGAATTATCACAGATCCATCTGAAGTTCTAATTCCAAAGGTGTAGATTGCAAAGTATGGACTTTTCTGTGTTGGCACTTCAAACCTCTTACCTGATTTCCTTCCAAATTCATGGGAAGAGAAATATGTCATTATTCACACACCTTGACTTTACCTTTGAAATATATGGGAGGAACAGGCAATCCAGTACAACAGTGTTTCCCAAACTTGACAATTTTAAGGCATGAGGACTTCAACTCCCAGAATTCCACAGCCAGCAACGTTGGCTGTGGAATTCTGGGAGTTCATGCCTTAAAATTGTCAAGTTTGGGAAACACTGCAGTACAATAACATCTATTCATCTAGGTGTCTGTCTCTTCTGATTGGAGAGGATGCAATATCATGAGATCTCAACAGAAACCAATGTGCTGGGTTTGATTTACTTTTTTATTATTTGGAAGTGGGGAAAGATCCACTTCCAAGTAATATTTTCCCCATTGTTCCCTGGGTACATTTTTTTGAGGTTTCCTTAGAAGGTGGGTGGATTGGGATAAATAATATTTCTGTCGCCCCTTATATCAGTAAGAAATCAGGTGATTTCAGGGACTTGAAGATAGAAAGAAGAAGTAATAGAGAATTACCAAAGGGGCCCTATCTTTTATTCAGAGTCTGGATTATGATATTTCACCTCTGGCTTAATTATACAAGGACTTAACTAAAATACTGTACTTAGAATAATATTATAAAGACAGGATGGCACAGCACTGAATTCTTCACATCAGATCAATAGGACATTTATATACCTCATGGCATTTAAAAATGAAACAGGCTTTCCCTAGGAATGTATTCCCTTGGTCTGTCAAACCAACTGTGGGAAATCTAATGAAAGTAGATTAACTATCTATTGACTAGCAAAGAGAGAAAAAATGTTAGTGTACTGAAGAGCATATTGATTCAGTGACGTGATTTGTGCTCAAATCCAAATGACTTAAAACAGTTCTCACACATTCTGAAACAAGGATCACAGTATTTCTATCTTTCTAATTCAAATGTAGTTGACTCTCTCCCCCAGTGGTGGGATTCAAATATGGGGAAAACTGGTTCTTTGTGTGGATGCCGCTTCCGAAGATCTATTCCGAGCCTGGGCAACAAAAAATTAGCTACCGGTTCTGCCGAAATGATGCAAACTGGCTGAATCCCACTACTGCCCTCCCCCCAAAAATCCAATGTTCCTGAATCTTTGAAATTTTGAAGTCTGTGGACAATTCTGGGAGTTGACCTTTAAAATCAAAAACTTTGAATTGCATTTAGAAGCTAGTAAGGACCAAAGCTAATAGGAAATCAGTGCAGAATCCCTTTGACACACCAACAGCTGAGTAATTGCATTCTAGTCCAATTGAAACTATTGAACGGTCTTTGAAGAAACCCATGTACAACACATTGAAGTAATCCAGGCAAGGGTGAAAAGGGCTTGGGTTACTCTGGCAAGTTCCTCTTACTCAAGATAGCATTGTAAAGATGTACTGTACTAGACAGATCTGGGAAAAGGGAGAAGGAAAGAGAAGAACATGACCAGCATCAAGGTGGCTAGACTCAAGTAGTGTCAAAGTGTGTGTCACTGAGATACATGAAGGTCCATGTTATGGACAGATCAACCTGAAAATGATCCAGTTATGATGTCAGTAGATGTTGATGCCACATGACAGTTGATAATCAATCCAGATGAACTTATTCTCTATAGAGGCCAAAAGAGTGCAGTATTCAAGAAAAAAATCATTCAAAACAATATTGATGTTAGGATATATCATTACCTAGAGATAAGCATTCTGGAATATCTGACCTTCATTGAAGAAGATGGTTTCATTCACACAAGACACAATAAGAACAAATTAAAATTTCTCCACTGGCTAGTGAGAGAAGAAGTAGACTTAGGCAGAGATTATGCTAGTCTGAAACTGCAGGTTTCTCTTCCATAACTGGGACAAACTGGAAAATCTTCACTGCAGAGGAGCTATTTTGAGACCGCTGAACTTCAACTTTTTGCCAGAGAAAGAACTTTAGGAAGCATCTCCATCAATATCTTCAAATGCTATTGCTGAAAACGCATTTCTTTCTGTTTCTGTTTCTGTCCCAATCTCGCTGTGCCACGATGCAGATGAAATGTCCATTGAAGGTGACAATAGAAGAATTTAAGAAGTTTAATCACTACAAGCCAGGAGATTACCTGATTACTGCAATAACATCTAAAATATTTTCTCGTCGTTCCCCATATATTTTCTCTAAGCCTCCAACCCACTACTTTGACCATGGATGGAAAATTGAAATGAAAAAAAGCAAAAATAGGATATGGATTAAATAAGTGGAAATTGAGATATGCTTTGGCTAGAAAAAATATTTTAAACTGATATTATTAGAAAAGTATAACAAATGTTGATATACAATTGTATGCTTACTAACAATAATAAGAACTGTGTTTGCTTGATGTGGAAAAATGGTTATTGCCAGAAGAAGAGAGGATGTACTGGCAGGTGTAATAGTAGACTTAGCTGGAAGAAGCTTATATGTACCACAGAATTACTAATGGACTCAGTCATCATGTTGTCTATATCTATATCTATGTCTATATCTATATCTATATCTACATCTATATCTATAGATATAGATATATAGACAACGTGATGACTGAGTCCATTAGTAATTTCATATATATGAAAATCATGAGAATAAAAGTTGTCATGATGTTTATGAAAAATTAAAATATCAAGTTGCCCATTAGGAGTATTTTTTTCCCTTCCCTTTTGAAACATGTTGGTTTCAGGATTTGAGATGATTAGAAGCAAATGATAAGAATCAACTGAAAGCACATTCAGGGAAAGCCAAGTGTGTAGGATTTCTTCAGCTGTATCGCTGAATTGCTAGGATGGCAGCACACACTCACTCACACACAAACACACACACACACACACACACACACTATATGTACAGTATATATATATGGAAATGGATATGGACATGGATAAAAAACAAGAATCCATTTTAATACTTCTCATAAGCACACCTTCATTGTCATATCAGGTGTCTACATGATTTTTCTTTTCAAATGATTCAGAGTTTTTGATGGAAGACAGTGTAAAATAATAATTTGTCCCAAATTATTTGTATGGAGGAAAAAAATAAAAGTTGCCCCAATGTTCATGTTGATATTTTATCTATTCTTAATATATATAATGTTATCTGTCTCTGTGTTTCTCCTTATCTATCTATCTATCTATCTATCTATCTATCTATCTATCTATCTACCTACCTACCTACCTACCTATCTATTTATTATCTTACATTATCCAGCCAGAAGAGACCAATCAAATATATATTTGAAATTAACTATTTTTAAAAGTCAGAATATCATCCCCCACCCAAAAAAATATAACACCAACATATATAGCAACAAAAACACACATCATTATTAGCCATAGTCTTTAATTTAATCTAAAACAATGTTAGAACATCTCTGGCCTGGTTTCAGAAATTTTATTAATGTCATTGATGATACTTATGATTTAACATGAATTCAGATTGTGGCAATTGAAGGATATGGTTATTTCAAATAATTTTATTTTTAGCAACATTACTACTCAATTATTATAATACAAAATTCACATGGAATGAAGAAAAATAAGCTACAACACATAAAACATGACTTCAAAGTATGTGATTTTATACTGAATGTAAACTGTACAAAAATAAAGACCAACATCAGGAGACTTAATGATTTTTTATCATCAGATTTTCTTTTGTGTTCATGGCAGGTCTCAGAATAATAATGTAGCATTTGGGGATAAAGATGCAGATTAGTAAACCCAGGCTGGAGGCCAGGATGGAGAAGATTTGCACAGCTACCATGTATTTCCCTTTGGAGCTCAAGTAGGTGGGTACAAAGGAGATCCATACACTACAAAAAACCAACATGCTGAAGGTGATCAGTTTGGCTTCATTGAAACTCCCTGGCAGCTTTCGAGCCAGAAATGCCACCAAGAAGCAAATGGCAGCCAGAAAACCCATGTAGCCAAGGGCAGTGTAGAACATGGCAACCGAGCCTTCATTGCACTGCAACAAGATGTGTCCTGGTTGGGAATGAAAGTCAGAATCTGGGAATGGGGGGAAAATTCCCAGCCATATCATACAGATGCCTACTTGAATACCCGAGCAGGATAAGACAATAGAATTGGCCAGAGTCTTCCCAAGCCATTTCCTCATGCTGCTGCCTGGCTTTGTGGCCAGAAAGGCCACCACCACCATTACCGTCTTGGCCAGAACAGAAGATACAGCAACTGAAAAAACAATACTGAAAATGGTTTGTCGAAGAAAACAAGTCATTTTCATGGGGCGACCAATGAATAGAAGAGAGGTCAAGAAAGAAAGCAGGAGTGAAACCAGGAGGATGTAGGTGAGTTGACAGTTGTTGGCTTTGACTATGGGAGTTTCTCGGTATTTAATGAAGGTTCCCAGAATAAAGGCAGTGGTCAGGGACAAAACAATGGCAAAGAAAGCCAGGATGAATCCCAACAATTCTTCATAAGATAAGAAGCTTATAGTTTTGGGGACACACTGATCTCGCTTCTTATTGGAATGATGGTCATCTGGACACTTATCACAGTGGGATGCATCTGAAAAAAAATTGTTAGCATGTATCTGTTTCTGCAGCTGTAGGAGCATGAAAACCATAACAAAAATCAATTACTTCATTTTCAAGGAATAATATAATATTTCTGCCCAGTGATATCCATATGACACAACATTTGTTAAAATAGTCGACATTTTTGTTTTAAATGCTAAAGATAAATGTGATTATCAGCTTCTCCTTTTGCTTGAAACCAAACAAGAAAATTACAACTCAATAGAAAACAACAACCTTTCATTATTTATTTTAATGTTCACATCATCAAACAAAATTTAGTGATAGTGCCTAATCTTTGAAATGTTTGTGGATGCCTTCAAGAAATTTAATGTTTTTCTTGCTTCTTTATCAAATACCCCCCCCCAAAGCAAGAGAGAATATTGATTGTATACTGTTTTTTTCTTTCTTTCTTTTTTCTTTTTGGAGCCACCTACTATACCTTCTTGCACAGAGAATGTTCCTTTCATACACAGAGAACAGTCATAGCAGCAAACTGGTGCCCCCTCTCTCACAAGCTTGGCATAACCTGGGGAGCAACTTTCTGTACATCTTGAATAAGGCACTGTCTAAACATAAAAAGAAAGATTAGTCAGGGCAATATATGAATTAGAAGAGTTTACTGAAATCAACTGGTTTCCAGAAGCTCAGAAGCACACTGAGCAAAATCAGTCAAGGACTGGTGGCATGGGCTTTTATTAGTCTGCTTGAAAGCGGCAAAAGAAAGATGATTGTCTTTCTCTATCAATCTCTATTGCAGATCCCAAAACAGACTCATTGCCTTATTCTTCTTTCCAAAGGAAAGTAGTTCCATTGCAAAAGTTTTTTCTCCTTAGGGCATTTATGAGAATGCTATAATTTATTTTTTTTACCAACTTTGCTTTCTCAGGAAACCTCCAAAATTTAGCTTTCTCTTCAGTCATTATTTTTCTCTTTTACAATTGATCATTGTATAATTTTATGTAAATGACTTTTTTAGTTGCCCTCATTTCCCTCACCACATTCTTAATGACATCTTTCTCTTATACAATTCAGTGGGATAAGTTCTTCATATTCTGGATTTTTCCAAAGGTACTTTTTCAAAAGGCAACTGGTCTTTGTTTTCCCTTGAAGACATTTCGTCTTTCATCTCAGAAGCTTCTTCACTTCTGATTGAATGGTGGAGGATGAAAGGATTTATATTCCTTGCAGTCATCTGGTCATTAGCAGTCTTTCTGAGAGTTGTTAAGGCTACTTGGAGGGTCACCTGAATAGTGCAAATGGGTGTGGAATCTTGGAACTGCTGAATCTATATCCTGTTTACAACATAGTCCTTCAGCAGTTCCAAATCCTTCCATGCTCCACCATTCAGTCAGTAGATCACCAAGAATCTCCATAGACATTTTGGATTTTCTCTTACTGAAAACAAGATGATTTGATATACTGTAAATTATGGCTTCCTATTCCTTTTAATAATATAGATTGCAAATCCCATAATACAATTGATGGTACAGCAGGTTCCAATGTGTGATTGATTACTGAAAAACCTCTAAAATAAAATGTTATCTAATAAATTAATGAGGCTTATTTGGAAATCATCACAATTGGCTTCAATAAGTATTATTTCTGAGCAGAAAAGATTGCACATATGGAGGTAAATAGAAGAACAAAAACCAAGCAACATCAGCTACTTTGTTAAATAATGTTGGCCATTGAATGGCACTCTGATTGATGGAAATCTTGACTTCCGAGGAGTTTTCTCTTTCTACACTCCCAATTTTCACCCCTGCATCAGACTTTTCCCAAAATGATGTCCAGTGCATGATATCAAAATCACCAAGAGGAACTCCATTTTCATCAAAATAAATCCCATCTCTGGAAATATTGTGATGTTGGAAGTTTCTCAGGAACCTATGAAGCTGCAGAAAAAGAGAAAAAAAAATTACAATTTGAGCCTTTATTCAATGTTTTTCTGCTAATATTCTGGACTAGAAGTACTCTGAATAATTCAACCTCGTCAGAACACCTCTACAGTCTGAAAGAGATTCATTCAGCATTTCATGGGAAGCTTCTCTCATCATTCTCCAGGGCTCCACAGCTCTTTTTCAGACATTTATCTCACATTCTTGAAAATGTGGGATAGACAACACCACCACCAGATGGTTCATAACTGGCTGACAAATTGTACCCAATGTGTAGTCCTCTAGGGAACTACATCCATATGGAGGGAATAAGCTGTGGGATACTCCAAGGTTCCATTTTAGGCCCAACTCTCTTCAATATCTTATAAAAAATCTAGATGAGGGAATTGAAATGGAACTCATCAGATTTGCAGATGATACTCAACTGGGAGGAATACCCATCTCCCCAGAAGACAAGCCCAAGATCCAAAAAGATCTTGACAGACTTGAACATGGAGCCCTATTTAACAAAATGAAATTCAACATAGATAAAAGTAAGGTTTTGCACTTAGGCAAGAACAACTGAATAGCTGTAGACTAGATGAAACTTGGACTGGGGTGACGGTGCGCGTGCTCACAGAGAGGGTTCTGAGTACCGCCTATGGCACCCGTGCCATATGTTCGCCACCACTGGTCTAGTCTAAGGAAAATAAGGACTCTGGGACACATGATAGCACTATTCCAATATTTGAGGGGCTCCTACAAAGATGAGGGGGTCAAACTATTTTTCAAAGCACCAATAGGCAAGACAAGAAACAATGGTGGAAATTAACCAAGGATAGATGCAACCTAGAACTAAGGAGAAATTTCCTAATGGAGAGAGCAATCAACCAATGAAATAGCTTGCCTTCAGAAGTAGTGGGTGCTGTATCACTGGAGCTTCAAAAAGAGACTGCACAACCATTTTTCTGAAAGGTTATAGACTCTCCTGCTCGAGTAAGGGGTTGGACTAGAAAATCTCTGAGATCCCTTCCAACTCTTTTATTCTATGTTTTATGTTCTCCATTTTATTGTTTCACCATCACAGCCCCACCTGCAGTAAGACCATTTGAGATATGTAATGGGAAAAGATGGAGAATATAATTTTACCATCAGTCCTGATCAAGATGAAGTTAGCAGTGCTTAACTCCGTGCTAGGAATGCAATACAAATTGCATAGTGATATTATCTCTTTCAAAGACTAGCTATGGAAGCCTATGCATTAGTTCAGGAGATGTGTGGATGAACTTTTTTGGCCCTCAGAAGATGCTTTGAAAAGACATTGATTTATATCTTGTTGCTAGGTTAGAAATCTTTAGTTAGCAAAGTCCAATTTCAATCCAGAACAAACAAGAAAGCCTAACTCCTTAGCTTGGAAACTAGATCACTTTGTGATCACAAGAAAGGGTTGAAGATTGCTGAAATATTCTGATGCTTATTTAATTTTGAAAATCACATTCTCAGCATAGAGCTATTTCTGTCACAAAAGCATCCTATACCAGTACAGTTTGTTTAACTTTGGAAGATTTTTCCCCATCATCTCGTTCTCAAACTCACTCTCAAATACTACAAACTGGACAATTGTTCTTTGGAATATTCCACCCCTCTCTACATCTAATTTAATATTGAACAATTGGAAGGGGGAAATCAGTAGAACCTCAAAGAAGAAGACTTACCTGCCATGGCTGTACGATCTGGGATGATTCATAATATCCAACTTGCATTCTCCTCTTACTCTGTTGGGAGGAAGAGGCAGCACTGAGGACCCATGCCACATTTTGAATTACTTTGGAAATACCGGAGGGATCCTGAGAGAGGATTCTTGCAATCACATCATGGGGTGGGAATTCCCAGTTCTCTTTTTCTTTGCATTTTTTCCAAACCTTCTTAGATAACAAAGGACTTGAAATGGAACATTGGAATGCTTCCTTTCCATACACTGTGACCATAGATGTATAAGATTTAAAGTCATAATACTGAGCCCTTCCCTTTGTCTGGATGAGGAAGGAAAACAAAGCATATTTATTTTGGAGATCAACCAAGAGGTCAAAAAGAACTACACTTAAAGCTGTCAAAGTTGTTGCAATCCACACTCTTCCCACAATGAATTTCTTACTCTTATCAAGCTCTTGTATTACTGATATTAGTATCCCTGAGGCCTTAAAATCCAGTTGGCATACTATGATTTTTATTTGACTCTTGATAAGAGAAAGGAACATTTCCCATTTTTCTTGCATGAGGGTGTTTCTAGCACTTGTCTTCATATTTGCTTCTGGGATGGTTCCTGAGAGGGCAATGCAAATCCCACTTTTTAGAGCAAGAGCTTCCAAGCTTCTTTTGAATTTTTCTCCTCTGTCATTGTCCAGAGAAAGGAGGCCGATCCACGTCCAATGGAAATGCAGGAGCAGTTTAAAAATTGCAGAGTAGGGAGGTTTTTGGTTTGGGGTCATCCGATATGAAAAAGGAAAATGTTTATTTTGCTCAGCAATCTGGTTGATGACACTATAGTTGATCTAAGATAAAACAGAAGGTATTGGTAATTTGGGTCAGTTTTAATGATAAAAGTCACATGGTAAATCTAAGGGCCTTTCTCTACTGCTGAGAGAAGTTTCAAATAATAACTGCATGAATTTTACTGACTCCCTTGATGTTCTTTCTGTTGTCTTGTATGCTCCCTTTGAAACTAGGGAGCTCTGATTTATCTGTGGGTGGTGTTCATGGGTGGTCCTGATGGAGCACATCTCTCTGGTCAACCCTTACCCATGCAGTTTTGCCTGAGTGATGAAGTAAATGCAATGTGGCACTTTTGCTGTCAACAACGTACGCTCAAATGAGCCCTACATACTCTGTTTTTACCCACTTTGTAACTCTGTGGTCACCCACCCACTCATGGAATATATTTTTAAACTGACAAACAAGTTAAAATTCTCATATAATATTATTGCTTATTTCATTGCTTCATATGTTGGACTTGAAATATTGTTTGTTATATCCCCCCTAGCAATTGTTTAATATTGCTATATTAGTTCTTTGTCTTCATTCATATAATTGTTTTCAAATATTTCTATGTGAACTCTTTAATTGATTAAATTTCTTTCAGACATATGGAATGCAGAAGTCTGTTTAATAACCTCACTTTGTTCCAAGCTCCAGTTCAAAATAGGAAAGAATATTATGATATACTTTCTTTTGTCTTGTACACTGGAGAAAGTATGTAAAAGTTGATTTCTGGAGGTGCCCTCAAGCTGACTTGACCCATTCATTTTTCTTTCATATCTTTCTTTCCAAATTTTTACTTCAGTCTCAAGATTATAATAATGAGGAATTCCTCACTGAAAGTTATTAAGAGTTGGAACATCCTGTGTCCTGGAGCTCCATCGCTGGATATTTTTGAGGAAATATTGGACAGCAATTTATTTGTAGTGGTCTGACCATTCTTGGCCCGTGCAGGGAATTGGACTTTTCTATTCTATAATTCTGTATACAAAACCAGCTCTTTTGTATTGGTCACTTTTCAGCTCTTCTAATATTTATTCTCTGACTCAATTTATTTCGAAAAATATATACAAGTGCTGCCTTTTATATATTTATATATCTGAAGAATTTACAATATGGAATTAATTTCATTTCGCTTTATACCTGTGGGATTTTGTAGATGCTCAAGACATTAGAAACATGATCAAAGAGTTCAGAATCCACCTCTTCAAGGACTGCCAGCAGGTTCTTTTGTCTTCCACATCTGTAGTTTGGGATGTTCTCCTGCCCTGTGGACACCAGGTCCATCATGGCCTCATATGTCAGTCTTGCACTGAAAAAGTTCTGATAGATGTTGTAGCCCAGGGTGATGTTGGGTAAGAGCCTTGAATTCTGGTTGATTTCATGAACAGCCAACAAGAAGGGCAGAAGGTGGTAGAAGGTGTTCTCACTGCAACATAAGAAATTTCCAAAGGTCATCATCTTCAATTTGGATTTTTATAAAAGCATGTCATATTTACTGTAGCTTTATAGCTATATAGTGGAAAGCCAAAAAGATAACCAAACACTCATTACTTAAATAAATTATTCAATTTACTTGGCCTTTGCAGGTGATAGATATCTTTGAAATTTCTATTAGAAGAACAGTCTCATTGACACCACTAGGAGCTTCTTGCCAAAAGAAATATCAGGGAGATGTAGTAAGCTTCTTATGTCAGGATCAAAAGAATCCTACCAAAATTACGAGAACTGATTCTGCCTATAATTATCTCCAAATTATGACGGGGGGAAAATGAGGAAAATGATTCTTATACTTTAGTAACCAGGTAAGGAAAACAATCACAGTAGTAAGAAGCCTTTGTACTTTCTTTTACTCAAAAAGAAAAGCATGGAGGTTTATTACTATTGTAACTGTTTCAATCTGTTTAGAATAACCTTTTGCAAAATCAAAGCATTTATTTTATTTACTTACCTATTTCCAGAGATAATATATCAGTTTGCAACAATCCATAAAATGTAATTAAAATCATGCCCTTACCCCAGGCACCATATTAGATATGCTTACAGCTCACAACCCCCATCCTAGCACAATGCTTAAGGGAAGATCTGTGTCTTCCCAGTCCTCCAGAATGCTAATGAGAGATGCTACCAAGTATACATGTATATGTTGTGTTCATATTATAGGATTTCTTCCTGTTATATCCCCCTGGAGATGACTAACAGCTGGATTCAAGTGCTAGATTAGCAAGTGGTATTTCCTATCTGAAGATGGATATCTCTTCATAAGCCTTCTTTAGATCTAGAGATTTGCTGCAGAATATTCATGACTTTAGAATTATTTCCCTATATTCTACAGTTAACTACAATTAATATGATCCTCTGTGACTAAACATTAACATATAAAGTCTCTCCCCTCCTTGAATTTGGTTTTTAAAAGGTATGCATTTTATTTAAACCAAAAGGAACAGGGTAACCACAAAAGTAGCAGAAGTGTTAAAGGGTGGAAAGAAAGAGTGGAGAGGGTGGTAGGAATTACAGACTAAATGTAAGGAAAGGGAAGAAATGGTAGGGAGAAAGTACAAGCGATCTCCCTCTGCTCTGAGGTATTCAATCACTTTATTGGGAGTTATTGCTTAACTATTGTTAATAAATAAATAAAATAAATATAAATAAATGGCTGAGTCTCCACAGTAGCAAGGTAATCATTTTGAAAGCAGGTAGAACCCCATCCAGGTAAGAGTCATCCTGGGACAGTGTTGGCAATGCCCAGTGTTGCCCGTTGTTGAGGTTAACACTAGTGGAAGAACTTAAAAGGAACTTTGCAAACTCAGGTTTTACAAAATCATTATGTTCCCTAGGAGCCTTTCCTCCAAAGCAAATTTTGAGAAGCAATAATGACTTGCCTTTCTCAAAGTGAGGAATAGGGGAAAGGAAATAATTGCTAGAAAAGACATTAAAATCAATCACCAGAATCCTGGACCTGCTGACAATTACCTTTTCAATTGGTAGGTTGGAGGCTCGGAGAACGAAAATTGGTACAGTCGAGATACGATCCCAGACATTATTCCAGTAATTAAATAGTCTCCTGGCTTGTAGTAATGGAACCATTCCTTTTCTTCTATTATCACCTTAAGTGGACATTTCATCAGCATATAGGCACAGGGAATTTGAGACAGAAGCTGAAGCAGAAAGACTTGTTTATGCAGCAACAGGAACATTTGACACATACTGCAGAAGATCCTTCCTATAGTTCTTTATTCAGCACAGAGTTAAATCTCAGAGTTCACAGAAGACCATAACTACAATGAAGAAGTTTCAGTTTGGCCCCAGATTTGGAAGAGTTATCTGCAAATTCAGACTGCTAGAGTATTTGCTTGATTTTACTCCAACCTCTGCATATTGATTGGTAACTAATTGGGGTGGTGGAAATCCCATAAACCTTGTTCAGAGAATAAATAATCATGATTTTAATAATTAGAAGGGGAATTGGGAAATAGCTTTGCCACAAAAGTGTGCAGTTGAAAAAAAGAATGTTGTTCGGCTCAGGAGAATAATCCTAATCTGAGAGTCAAGAAAGCAACAATTCAGGGAAGTTTGATTGTTTTTAGTCTATAAACATAGTCTTGGGATTCTAAAGATTAAAATGTTCAACGCTCTTGAACTAGTCAGCAGGCCATTATAATTCCTTCTTATTCTGTCTGTTCTGGATGAAATTATCTTCCTCAATGAAAGTCAGATACTCCAGAATGGTTAACTCCAGATGATGATATATTGGACAACCTATTGGAGGGCCCTGTTAAATGTCTTGTATCTTTCAAAATGTGGAAGACTATCAGTCTTCATGATTACAAATAAGATCTAGTCGAAATTCCCTGGTGCATTAATCTGAAAAATGGCCTGTTACTGACTTGTTCATAATGTGATGACATTTTCTGTCATGTTATCTAGTAGGGGGCCAAGAGATGGTGCTGTAGGAGTGCAATAGCAACAAAGGATGAAGTTGAAGGGGTAAACAAAATTTGAGAAGCTGAGTCTATGGTCAATGCTATACGATGGGCAGATTTGTGTTTTTCTGCGAAATATGTACCTGAGACCTTTATACATTGCATTCTCCAAAACCCATTTGATGTAGTATAAGTAAATTAATTACATATATTTCCTGGAAAATCAGTTGCTTCAAGGATGAAAGTTAGTCTGAAGCCAGAATGGGACAACTCACCATAGCCAACTCATTGTGGCCAACTGGCTCTGGCCACCTCAACATGGGACAAGTCGCCATGGGACAATTTTACAATGTAATATAATTATTTAAAATAAATAAAAATATATTTCAATTTTTGTCATTCCCATTTCATTCTGTCGCTCCTTTTATATCCCTTTTTAAATCATTCTATTCCACCATTTCTTAGACATTAGTGTAACTCTTGTCCTGCAGCGAGTTGGCCATGGTGAGTTGTCCTGCAGCGAATTGTCCCAGATTCATCTGAAGTTCTAATTCCAAAGGTGTAGATTCCAAAGTATGGAGTTTTCTGTGTTGGCACTCCAAACATCTTACCTGATTTCCTTCCAAATTCATGGGAGAAGAAATATGTCATTATTCACACACCTTGACTTTACCCTTGAAATATATGGGAGGAACAGGCAATCCAGTACAATAACATCTATTCATCTAGGTGTCTGTCTCTACTGATTGGAGAGGATGCAATATCATGCGATTTCAATAGAAACCAATGTGCTGGGTGTGATTTACTTTTTTATTATTTGGAAGTGGGGAAAAATCCACTTCCAAGTAATATTTTCTCCATTGTTCCCTGTGTACATTTTTTTGAGGTTTCCTTAGAAGGTGGGTGGATTGGGATAAATAATATTTCTGTCATCCCTTATATCAGTAAGAAATCAGGTGATTTCAGGGACTTGAAGACAGAAAGAAGAAGTAATAGAGAATTGACAAAGGGGACCTATCTTTTATTCATGGGTTATGATATTTCACCTCTGAAGTGATCATGCAATATTAGAATTCAACATTATAGAAGCACAAGCATTAGAACACAGTCAAACTAGAGTCTTGGACTTCAAGAGAGCTAATTTCAATAAACTTAGAGAGGGCTTGGGAAGGATTCCATGGATGAGAATCCTCAAGGGGAAAACAACTCAAGAAGCTTGGGAAATTTTGAAAAATGAGATAATAAAAGCACAGTATAGCACAATACCAACAAAGAGGAAAAACAACAGCTCCCAAAAGAAACCAGCATGGCTGCATAAAGAACTCTCTGACAAATTGAAAGATAAAAAGGACAAGTATAGAAAGTGGAAAGAGGGGAACATAACTAAGTCAGAATATCAGCAAATAGCCCGAGCCTGCAAAGATGAAGTGAAGAAAGCCAAGGCTCAAAATGAACTAAGGCTTGCGACCAAAGTCAAAAATAACAAAAAAAGCTTCTTTCAACATGTAAAAAACAAGAAAAAAGTGAAGGAAATGATTGGTCCATTAGTGGGTGGAAGTGGCAAGAAGGTGACAAGCAACAGGGAGAAAGCAGAACTATTTAACTCATTTTTTGCATCTGTCTTTACACAAAGGGAAAAAACAGACCAACCTATCAAAAATAGTGCCATAAAAAACAAAACAGAAACACAAGTTAAGATAGGCAAGAAAATGGTTAGTGAGCACCTGTCCAGCCTAGATGAGTTCAAATCGCCAGGACCAGATGGATTACATCCCAGAGTTCTCAAGGAACTGGCAGATGTGATATCGGAGCCACTGAACTATATTTTTCAAAGATCCTGGAACACAGGGGAACTACCAGAGGACTGGAAAAGAGCTGATGTAGTTCCCATCCTCAAAAAAGGAAAAAAAATGGATCCAGGAAATTACAGACCTATCAGCCTGACCTCAATACCTGGGAAGATCCTGGAAAAGATAATCAAACAACGAATCAACGAACACCTAGAGGCAAACAAAGTCATTACTAAAAGCCAACATGGGTTTGTCAAAAATAGATCATGCCAGACAAATCTTATTGCATTCTTTGACCAAGTGACAAAATTAGTGGATCAGAGGAATGCTGTGGACATAATTTACTTGGACTTCAGTAAGGCATTTGATAAAGTAGATCACAACCTACTACTTGACAAGATAGAAAAATGTGGGGTAGACAGAACCACCACCAGATGGATCCGTAGCTGGCTGACCGGCCGTACTCAGCGAGTGGTCCTCAATGGAACTGCATCTATATGGAGGGAAGTGTGTAGTGGGGTGCCCCAGGGCTCTGTTCTGGGCCCAGTACTCTTCAACATCTTCATCAACGATTTGGATGAAGGGATAGATGGGGAACTCATCAAATTTGCAGATGACACCAAGCTGGCAGGAATAGCCAACACTCCAGAAGACAGGCTTAAGATACAGAAGGATCTGGACAGACTTGAACACTGGGCACTAACTAACAAAATGAAATTCAATGGTGAAAAAAGCAAGGTTCTACATTTAGGCAAGAAAAACCAAATGCACAAGTACAGCATAGGTGGCACCATGCTCAATAGTAGTAACTGTGAGAGGGACCTCGGAGTCCTAGTAGACAATCACCTAAATATGAGCCAGCAGTGTGCTGCAGCTGCCAAAAAGGCCAACACAGTGCTAGGCTGCATTAACAGAGGGATAGAATCAAGATCACGTGAAGTATTAATACCACTCTTCAATGCCTTGGTAAGGCCACACTTGGAATACTGCATCCAGTTTTGGTCACCACGATGTAAAAAAGATGTTGAGACTCTAGAAAGAGTACAGAGAAGAGCAACAAAGATGATTAGGGGACTGGAGGCTAAAACATATAAGGAACGGTTGCTAGAATTGGGTATGTCTAGTTTAACGAAGAGAAGGACAAGGGGGGACATGATAGCAGTATTCCAATATCTCAGGGGCTGCCATAAAGAAGAGGGAATTAAGCTATTTTCCAAAGCACCTGAAGGCAGGACAAGAAGCAACGGGTGGAAACTAATCAAGGAGAGAAGCAACCTAGAACTAAGGAGAAACTTCCTGACAGTGAGAACAATTAATCAGTGGAACAGCTGCCTCCAGAAGCAGTAAATGCTCCAACACTGGAAGTTTTTAAGAAGAGACTGGACAGCCACTTGTCCGAAATGGTGTAGGGTTTCCTGCCCGAGCAGGGGGTTGGACTAGATGACCTCCAAGGTCCCTTCCAACTTTACTAATATGAACAAGGACTTAACTAAAATACTGTACTTAGAATAATATTATAAAGATAGGATGACACAGCACTCCACATCAGATCAATAGCACATTTATATACCTCACGGCATTTAGAAATGAAAAATGCTTTCCCTAGGAATGTATTCCCTTAGTCTGTCAAACCAACTGTGGTAAATCTAATGAAAGTAGATTAACTATCTATTGACAGCAAAGAGAGAGAAAATGTTAGTGTACTGAAAAGCATATTGATTCAGTGATGTGACTTGTGCTCAAATCCAAATGACTTCCAACAGTTCTCACACATTCTGAAACAAGGATCACAGTATTACTTATCTTTCTAATTCAAATGTAATTGACTCTCTCCCCAAGTGGTGGGATTCAAATATGGGAAAAACTGGTTCTTTGTTTGGATGCTGCTTCCGGAAGTCTATTCTGAGCCTGGGCAACAAAAAATTAGCTACCGGACTTCCGGTTTTGAGTTGCAGTGGGTACAGGCACACAAAGAGACTCTCTCTCTTCGTTATCTGCTTTTCCTCTGCCGGTAGACCCTTAATTGGGTCGAAAAGTCACCCTGGAGGGGTGACTACTGATGAGGATGACTCTTGTTGATTGCAGGGGGAGGAGGCAGCTACTTCCATGCTCCGTGGCAGCTCCTCAGGCCGACGGAGAAAAGGTCGGCCAGTAACATGGCCGATCATTTAGCTGCTCCAGCCGAAAGTCAAAAGAACATCTAAGCATTAAGAAACCATCGTGGATGATCCTGGTGAGACTTTTCCCTCTCTCTCTTTGCCTAACTACTCTCCTGTTAAAAGCCTTTTGGAATTACTTTCCTGCTTTGAAAGAGCTGCTTTTGTTTATCTGGGGAAAAGAGCTTTCCATAAGAAAGGAAAAAACGTCTTATTGACTATTTTTATTTTTGGTTATTTGGGGGCCGTGGAAAAATCCTTATCATAAAACTTTATTATTATATCTCCTAAGCTGGAGAATATTGTTTTCCTATGTCTTGGACTTATTTTTTTAAAGGGATAAAGCTTTATTGTTTGAAAAAACAACAACAGCAAGAACTCTATGAGAAGCCGGAAAAGAGATTCCATAGCTCTTTGACTTTGCTAATCTCATTCTTAGTGTCTGGAAGAGACTTTCATAGTTTACTGAGGACATCTTGTGGAGAAATTTAAAACTGCAACCATTTCTTGTTTGTGTTACTACTAAAATGGAGAAACCATATTCACAACTCAACTGTAAACTCATACTGGAAAAAATTTATGAAGCTACTGAGGAAATATGTTCCCAAATAAGAGAGAGAACTGCAGAAATAATAAACAGAAATTCTACTGTGAACTTACAAACTGACCTTCAGACTCTTTGATCATTCTACAGACCAAAAAGCAATAGAAGAGGAATTAATTTACATACAACCTATGGAGACTTTGGATGACCAAAAATGATTGTAACTAAACTATCTACAATTGCAAAACTAACAGAAATGGACTTGAAATTACAACTGTTGGAGAATTATGACAACTTTGATAATCAACTACTAATTATAAAATTGGACATGATCAAGTGTTTTATCCAGCAGACAGCAGACAGGCATCAAAAAACAGAGGATGGGAGGTCTTTTACTGACCCAAATGACATTAGAAGCAATAATGGGAGATCTATTTGCTGAAATAGAGGCTTTGTTATGGAAACCTTCTTGGCATAAAAAGAAAGCCAGAATAAGACTAAAAAGATAAATTTAAAATTATATGTAATAGATTAAAAAGGTTTTGAGAAATATGGACTGATTTAAGGACTAAGATTTAGAGTTGAAAATTTGTGATTATTAGAATATATATGTTAAACAGAGTAAGAATGTATTTTTTGGAATAATATGTTTATTTGTATGAAAATTATTTTGTAATGGAATGAGAATAAGAATATGAAAGAGGTTTTTAGAAATTTGGATTGCTTTAACAACTAATTGAGTGTGTTAAGTTAGTAAGACGATGTTTTGTGTAATAATAGGTGTGTTCTTATTTTTAGACATGATTTAAATGCTATCTGAAGAAATAAGAGAGATCTGTGATAAA